GCGGTTCACAGAATATACTGTAAAGTGAATTGACTATATTTGTGGGTGAAACGCTACACACGCTTTGAAAGTGATGTAATAACACAAGTTTCGCCCACAAAGCACACAGTCACTCCACTTTGCAAAGTACTGATATATTCTGTGAAGCGCTTTGAGACGTCTGAACAAATGCAAGAATTATTATTATTATTATTATTATTAGCATAGGTTCTTCATCTTTAAACCCAGGCCAGTTACATACACACAGGAAAGTCTCGAAACGAGATCAGTGGTGAGTTGGGATGAATTTTCCGTCAGAACGGGCAGGGACTGGGGCGAGAGGTGGGGGGGGGTTAGAAGATTCTGTGTAAGGGTCAGACTGAGACATCTCTGGGGCCATATTGACAGATAATCATCTGCTGAAGGAAATGGTCCCTGTTCCCGTGTGGCTCCCGCCCCAGAGGTCAAAAGGCGGCTGAAACGAGCCCTGCTTTCATGTCTTTTATCCCTCCTGACAGATTGTCAGTGTTGTTTACCAATTGTACTGAGCAGGACTGAGCTGACACTGCGTGCGACTCATTCACCAGTCCTCTCTCGCCCGTCGCGAGCCCTCTCTCACCTCTCGGTCAGAAGGCTGCAAGTTTAAGCCACGCATTATAATAATAATTATCCTTACATTTGATACAGCGCAGGATGTACTGTAAAGTGGATTGACTGCGTATTTTTGTGGGAGAAACACGGCGGTCAATTGCACACAGCAGCGTTCCCTCAACCAGTCGTGGATTTAAGGACCAAATGCTTTTTAATTCATTTTTTATTACCCCTGGAATAATCACCAATCGACTAACGACCAGGTTTCTACTTACTGCTAGGTAAACAGAGGCGCGTGGAGCAAAGAAGCTTGCCTAACGTTTCGCCCAGCTCGGGAATCGAACCCGGGTCCTATCGCTTGCGAGGCGACTGCTTTGAGCACTGGGCTACAGGACTCCATTCTCTGTCGTCCTTATAATTTTTCCAGGAACGTCCTTCGGAGAGAGAGAGAGAGAAAGAGAGAGAGAGAGAGATTTAGAATGAGAGAAGCACACGCAAACTGACACATAGGGAAACCCATCACTGTGTTTAACAGTATCCCAACCCGAGAATTCCCGGCCTCCCACCTACACATGGAAATCCCAGCGGTAGATTATTGGAATGGAATACGCTCTCTCTCTCCACCTGGAGGGACACCTCCTGCTTATCTAATTCCAGAAAGTATTAAGCGCAGGTTGGCAAGAGCCAAGGCTTGGGGCGGGGGGCGGGGGGGGCGGCCCAGAGTGTACGTTGGCATAACTGCTGGAGTTTAACCAGCTAAAGCCACACGTCGCTCGCCATCGAGTGAGAGTGAGTAAGAGCGAACCCAACAGTGCGTGAGTTCCAGTGAGACTGAGCGTGAGAGTGACTCACAGAGGGAAAGAGGGAGTGCGAAGAGAGAGAGAGACAGAGATGTTAAAAAGCAGCAAAGAAAATGCTCTTCAGAAAAAACTTTCAGCTGCTCGTCTTAACGTGTGAAACGATTCAATCCTCGACGTGAGCAGGAGTGCGGGCAGAAAACAGACGGTGTCCAGGCCAAGAAAACAAAGCAATTAATTTCTTGAGAGCTGTAATGTGGAAAACTTACTACATATGTACTAATTAACATTGCCACTGAAGTGCTACTAATGAAGTCTCTGGGGGGGGTGTGGGGGTGGGGGGGAAGTGGGAGCATTTCGTCTCTCCTGTCAGCTCCGCGCAAAAAAACGTTCCCGAGACAGCGGGCCCCGTACGCTCCTCCGGCAGGCCGGCCCCATCAGCTGCCTGCTCAGGCCGATCGGGGAATCAATCACCTCCTCCTCCTCCTCCTCCGCCATCTCCTCCTCCTCGGCTCGGCTTGCCCGGCCCCACTCCCTCCCGCCTTACGAGCCGGGAATTTCAGGGAATCCTGGAATAATAATAACAATAATCCTTGCGTTTCATACAACGCCTCATCGCGTCTTCGAGGCGTCTCAAAGCGCTTCACAGAATGTACTGCAGAGTGAAGTGACTGGGTATTTTGTGGGCGAATCGCGGCAGCCAATTGCGCACAGCAGCGTCCCCACAAACAGGCGTGGATTGAGTGGCCAAATTATTATTTTTTTATGGGATTATTACCCCCGGAAAAACAATCCACCAATTGACTAACAACCGGGTTCCTCCTTACTGCTGGGTAAGTGTGTGTGTGGAGTAAGGAGACTTGCACAGCGTTTCGCCCTACCCGGGAATCGAACTCAGGTCACTCGCTTGTGAGACGAGACCCCTAACTACTGAGCTACAGGACTCTGGAATCCTGCAATTCAGGAAATTCTGCTATTCCTGTCCCACACTCTGTGAGTCTCTGCGCGAACCTTAACTTCAGAACCGGGCAAGTGCCGGTGCCCAGAGTCCAATTCCACGGGAAGGTGGAGATCGCTGGCCTGAAGTGGTGTGTGTGTGTGTCTGAGCCGCCTTTCCTCGCTTTAATACACTGCCTCGCCTCCAACGAGGTTTCACCCTCCGTCCACCACATCCGTACCCATTACCGCCCACGTTGCTGGAAACAGAAGGTTCAAGGCGTCTCCTGATGGAAGTCTCCAAACTCAAGAAGGGTTACGACGGATAATCGACTTCCACCGACTGGTTAGTCAAGCCAGAGCAACAACAACAACAACAAGATTCCATTTATAGAGCGCCTTTCACGTCGGGAGGACGTCCCAAGGCGCTGAAACACACATATTTACTGTGCACAATTGCCGTGTTTCACCCACAAAATATACAGTCCATTCACTTTACACTGTATCCTGTGAAGTAAGGAGTCTCAATGATGTGATCAGGTAATATATCAAATGCAAAGATTATTGATATTACTTAGAGGCCAGTGACTGGAACAATGCATGCCTTCCCCCCGGCACTGCGCTGGAACGGCAGCCTGACCTGTGAACTCAAAATCTCCAAAATAGGGCTTGAACCCATAACTTGCTGACCCCAGAATGGAAACGTTCCCTCGTCCCAGTGACCAGCTTCAGTGTGTGCGTGAATGTGTGTATGGAGGTGGGATGGGGGGGTGGGGTGAAAATTGGAACAAAAATGGTTTGGGAGAACAAACAATGAATAATAATTTGGTCCATGACTGTTTGTGGGACATTTCTGTGTGCGATTGGCTGCTGCGTTTCGCCCACAAAATATATACAGTCGAAGACGTGATAAGGCGCTGTGTCAAATGCAAAGACTATTGTTATCACTATATCAGGCTGGTCTCACGCTAAACTATCTCAGAACTGGGTGACACCGTTTTGGATTTTGCTGACAACGCAATTGCCTGGCTGGGCTGTTCTCACGATCTGTCACTCGGCCCTAATTGCACACAGCTAGATGATACGCACAATTCTTAGAGCCAGGTGTGGAGAGACATTGAGATGGAAATACCTGAACAGGGCTGTGTCTGCAAAGCACACCTGCAGCGAGCCCAGCTGTTCCTGTGACCTACCTGGGAAGCTGCCTGGAGGTGTTTAGATGTGTACGTACACATAGAGAAGCCCTGCACAACTTCAAGGTTACAATCTGATCTCTGAAACTATTTCCCAGGTGACTGCGGTTAATAGAACACAAGCACAGCCGACGGCAAGTCTCACACACCAGTCTACTGACAGAGAGGGAGCGAGGCGAGGGAGAGGTGGAAAGGGGGAGTGAGGGAGAGGCGGAGGGAGGGAGTCCACACAACTACAACATAAGGCTCAGCTGCGATGTTGTACCCACAATTGGTTAATTTGGCCGTAAGAAAGTCAAACCACTTTACAGCAAACCCTGTGAAGTCGTTTGAGACGTCTCGACGACATGGTAAGGCACTGGATCCAATGCCAGAATTATTTAATTCTCAAGGCTATTCTTTGAGGGAATGAGGGCAGAAATGAAGGAGGGGTGGTGGGCGCGGGGGCGGGGAGGGGGGGATCGTGAGCTTTATTTTTAAAAAAAAGGGAAAATGCACATCTTCAGTTGCAACAAAACATTTTATTCCGACAGTGACGGGTACAGCAGTTCCAAAACCCAGGTCTTTCCTGTCGGTGCGCGTCACCTTGCAACTGTTCACCACCCCCGCCACACACACAGACACTCAACCAGGCGGGCGGACTTGCCGCAGATGTCCACCCACGCTGCTCGCTCGCACCCAAGGCCTGAAATTCCACCCAGTCTCAGCCTGCCACACCATTTTGGCTCGACTGCGCAAGATCCCTCAATCCAGGCTTAATTCGGAAGCGAGTTTACTTTTAAAGAACTGCAGAAAAACGGATTGGAAATTCACCGTCTGTCTGCTTCATGCGGGACATTTTAGTGCGCAAATTGGCGGCCTAGAAAATACACAGTCACTACACTTTACAGTGGAATTCTGTGAAGCGCTTTGGGCCGACCTGCTTCGAGAATTTTCCATAATTCTGCGTAGTCTGGTCTGATCAGGTGTCGAGCCAGCGGGAGAGCGAGCAGGAACACCACCTCAGGATTGAGGTGGATTGAGTGAACCTCGGGCACAGAAATTTGACAACAACTGGTTTTAATCAAGAAGAATTTGAGGAAACTTAATGCTGGAGACAAATGACAGCTTATCAGGTGAAAGACAAAATACAAACATCATATAAAGTAAAATATCTAGGGGCATTTTCACAGACGTTTTATTGACGTTCTCATTCCCAAAGTATTCCCTCTGTCAACTTGTTCCAGGGGATGAGTTTGTTAGCAAGCCCAGACTCGGGGAATAACTGTACACTTCAGGGCTTTAACTACAACACGTTGCATTCACACCACGGCTTTCACGTCGGGAGGACGTCCCAAGGCGCTGGACAGTTAGGGATTTGGTTTGGTCCCGGGCTGGGGGTTGGGGTCAGGAAGGGGTGGAGGGCAGGGAGGTTTGGGGGGGGGGGAGGGTAGAAGAGTGACCGAAGGCGCGTTTTTAAAAATGAAGGTCTTGAGATGGACCTTGAGGAGGTGAGAGAGGGAGCGAGACGAAAGGACTGCGGGATGGAGCTCCAAAGGGTGGGGGCAGTGAGGCTGGAGGTGGTAACTCGGTGGCGATTAAATGCCAAGCTTAATGTGGGTTAGTGTTCGGGGTTTCCACCAGCGTTAACCCTTTCTGTCCCTTGTTCCCCACTCCTGATTGAGGCCTGCCCCGCCGCCTTCTTGGGCTTATGTCCAGGGCTGCGACTTGCCTTTGCCCGCCATCTGGGGAGCTGGAAGCGCTTTGTTTGGAAGCAAATCCTCTCTGCCGTGCTCGGCTGACAGAAGATTAAAGCCTTACACAGCCTGCGAGGGCAATGGGATCCGCAGCGCAGAGAGCATTTACATATTTAACACACGCAAACATCTGTGTGGCCACACGTGGTTACCCGGCTAATGTTGCGTGAAAGCACTGACATGGGGAGCACAGCGAGAGCGTTAACCCCATCACTGCCACGCACACCTCAGCCCAGGCCTCAGAACAAGACAGCACCTCTCTCGCACGCACACGCGCATACGCACGCACGTTACCGCACACCCCCCCCACCACCCAGCCGTTAATCATTTGTAGTGTATTGTTTGGTGGTGGGAGTGTGTGTACAAACCCGCTGCCTGTAGGCAGATAGGACCTCAGTTAACTGTCTCGCTTGGACCACAGCACCTCTGACACAGTAGCGCTCTCCCCCCCCCCATTGCACTGGAGGGTCAGCCTAGACTGAGCTCAAACATGGGGCTCGAACCCACAACCTCCTGACCCCCAGAGGCGAGGGCGATACTGGGGCTAAGACTAAGTGGTATTTCTGGCTTCCTGGCGGGGCCAGTGCTCAGAACATCACACACAAGGGCACAATTACTGGCATTCGATCCATGCCGACAACAACAGCTTGCATTTACACAGCGCCCCTGAGCTCTTAAACAATGGGAGAGGAAGGGAAGAGGAGGAGGCGATTACGAAGATGTCTGGCTCCTCGAAACACGACTTTAGAAGCCCCAGTTGTGGGCACGGCTATCGTAAGCCCCAGCGTTAAGGTACAAGTCCGACACACGCCAGTGAATGGGCCCCAGAAGGTTCCGTCAGGAGAGGGCTAGGCTTTCCGCCCTTCAGGAGAGGCATGATCTGCAGTTGCTCCAGCTTGGCGGTGACGATGCTTTGCCAGGCTCTGTTGGCCTGTGGGTTCCTGGGTGAGGGGTGCATCACCCCCTCCACCCGCACCTCAACCCCCTCGGCGTTCAGTGCTCGCCGGGCGCGCTGCTCGGCAAACTTCCCCACCCCCACCACCGTCCTGACCCCCAACGCCCGCACTGACTGGCACAGCGCCTGGTCACACATCCGCAGGAGCTGCTCCCTCTGGGCGGCGGGCAGCTCGCCGGGGGTCAGGTTCCTGCCCGTCTCACCCATGAAGACCAGTGGGCAGTGGTTGTGGACGAAGCAGTGGCGGAAGAAGACATCGGGCTCCCCACACAGTGACTTGAAGAAGCCCCAGAAACGGGCGCCGCTCACCTCGCTCTGGGGGCAATCCAGCCCCCGCACCGGCCTCTTGGGGTGCTCCACCGCCGGCCTCCCCACCAGCCCGTTCACCCCCAACCACTCCCGCACGTGCTTCACTTCGCCAAACGGTACCTGGTCGCCGCCAAGCGGAGAAAGAGAGATAGCGAGAGAGGCAGAAAGGTGAAAACAGCACAGAAACCCTCAGACAGCCCACACCATCAAATAATAATCCTTGCTTTTGATACAGCGCCTTATCCCGTCTTCGAGCGCTTCACAGGATACACTGTAAAGTCAATCGACTGTATGTTTTATGGGAGAAACGCGGCAGCCAATTGCGCACAGCAGCGTCCCCCACAAACAGTCGTGAACTGAGTGACACAAATTATTATTTATTTATTGCACATTTCTCGCACGTGTACGGTGCCTTTCACGCACCCTGGGTTGAATCTCGTGGGGGCTTAACTTGCAAACGTGCAGGGCTCTCACCCACCCCCCCCCAAACCATCCCCCACTGTGCTGCGTTGGATTATCAGCCTGGACTGTGAGCTGAAAGTGATGGCTTTGAGCTTGAACCAAAACCCTGTGAAGAGCCATTTCAATGTTCCATGCACTGCTGTCAAGTGCCAGGATAACGGCCATAAATACCTATATAAATAACAATAACAAGCATTTATATAGCCTCACGCTGGGTAGGGGGTCCAGGAGTGTTTGACAGTAGCTGTGCCTGACCCTGAGCCAGTGGGAGAGGGAGTGGGGGAGGTGACCGTAAGCACGATTAAATAATAATAACCTCTTCATTTGATACAGCGCCTCACAAGCTCATTGAGTCGCCTCAAAGTGCTTCACAGAATATACTGCACTGACTGTATATTTTGCGGGCAAAATATAAAGGAATGACCCATATTTTTGTAGCTGCCTTTGAAACGTCTCAAAGCGGTTTGCGGCTATTATAGATCCCGAGCTTGGAGCCCCCGAGCAGCGAGGACGGCACTCACCCCGGTCTGAGCCATCCCGAACGGTCCCGGGTTCATCCCCAGGAAGAGCACCTCCTTCCTGGCCTGGCAGTACTTATTCACATAGCATTGGTGGGGGTCCCAGGCATACTCGAGTGGGTTGTAGATGTATCGCACTGGGTCAGTGAAGCTGAGTTCCTTCAGGCGCAAGTTCAAGTCCAGCTCGATCTGTAAGAAGGTAGCGGCCACATTGCTGCTCTCTCCGAACAGCGCCTCCAACTCCGGTGCTGTGCCTGCTGCCAACGCGCTTGGCAAAGGCACAGCTGGCACCTCCATTGCGGCATCTCTTTCTCACCTTCAAGGGAAAGATGGCATCGTTAGTACTTTCTAAACCCGGAAAATCTCTCACAAACTCGAGGCTCCAGCAGCAACAACAACTTACATTGACAGAGCGCTCTTCACACAGGGCAAGGTCTCAGAGCGCTTAAGGGACAGTAAGCAAGGTCGAAGAGGAAGGTTGTCAGTCGTGATCTAAAAGAAGCGAAGGAGGGGGCGAGGCAGAGGGGTAAGGGAGAGAGTTCCAAAAAGCAGCATGTGCTTGGCAGAGCGGAGGGCAAGTATGGAACTGTCAGCTTGGTTTGGATACTCGTAAGCTGAGCAGAACAGCGGTCAGTGGTCTGATCTCTATCAGGGTTCAGGCGACGATGGTGAGAAGCTGGCTCTGTGGCGCAATGGATAGCGCGTTGGACTTCTAGTAAATTGTTTCAGAGAAGTAATTCAAAGGTTGTGGGTTCGAGTCCCACCAGAGTCGCAATGTTTTTGCACATATGATTTGGAGCATAAACACCGTCACAGAGTAGTTGGGCCCGTTTCTGTGCAGTAACATTCTATTTAATTTTATTCAATACGCACGCACCACCTAACAACGTTCACGATTTTACTTGAAAAGGAGAGACTCTCCCCCTCCGCATACACAAAGACTCGAAGAGTGGCACAAATCTACAGAGACAGACCCCCAGAGTGACACACAAGAGCAATACAGCGAGAGAGTGGCAAAGAGCAACACAGACGTTAATGCGTGGGGGCCACAGGGCTTTAACAGTCGCCAATCGAGTGGCGCAGACACAAAGCGTGACACACTTTTGGGGAGGGGAGAGCCTCGTCTTTGGCCAGAACACCAGGCGCGAGAAACTCCTCTGTCTTTTCGAATGGCTCCATGTGCCGGGGGGGGGGGGGGGAGGGGGGGAGAGGGTGTCTATAAGGCTCTGAGACGCTGCCCCGTGTGAGGGCGCTGTATAAATACAAGTTGTTGCTGTGGTTTTAACGTCCGTCCTGAACAGGTCAGAGACAGGACGGCGGTGGTGGGGGGGGGGACAAGTTGGGTTTTAACGCCTTGTCCAAAGGATGACGCCTCTGCCAACGCCCCCCCCCCACAGCCTGGACAAGGACTGGCGTCTGGACTGGGGGGGGGGTGGGGGCTACCCCCCCCACACACACGTGCCTCTGTTGATCAGCTGCAGCAGGAACCCGGTGGTTCGTCGATTGGCGGATCGCTTTCCTGGGGGTTGGGGGGGAGTGATAATCCCTTCAAGAGAATAAACAAATAACAATAATAATAATTGCGCCGTTGCTGTTTGTGGACACGTCGCCGCGCGCGCGCGTTCCCCTCCGCCCCCCCCCCACAAAACACACAGTCACTACACTATCACGGTACGCTCCGCCAAGCGCTCCGAGACGCCTGGAAGACGCGCCGAGGCACCGTGTCGAATGCCGAGGACTATCACTGTTATATCACCAGTCAGTGTACAGCTCTTTACGATTATTATATATTATTATTAATATAATAATGTTATTATTATGGTAATAACCTCCTGACTCAGAGGCCACCGAATGAGCCTCACAATGGCGGCCGTTGTGGGGGAGGGAGGGGGGGGGGAGGGGGGCAACGACCACGACGACACGGGAACGCACAGGGCCGCGCTCCTTCTCCTCCTTCCCCTCACCCCGGACCTTCTGCTGTGCGCCGGTCACCGCTGGGCCTCGGCTTCCACCGCCATCGCACGGCCACAGACCTCTCCCTCTCTCTCCCTCACCGTCTCTCCCGCCTCTGCCGAGCAGCGCCTGAGCTTCCGGCGGTGGCTGCGGTGCCCGCTGGGAGTTGTAGTTTACTCCACCGGCGGTTGTAGTTTGTTTTTTCCGTCCACGAGTACGCCTGCGCAGTGCAGTGCCCGTGTCGCTTGGCCGCCTGTGCGCCTGCGCAGCTTCCCCCTCCCATTTCCCCCCATCCCCCGCAGCGGCGAACTACGACTCCCAGAATGCTCCGCCTGCGCGCATGCGTATATGCAGAACTTTTTTATAACGGGCTGCCACAGCGACTCCTGTGGTGGGAGGAGGAATAGCACCATAGCACCAACAACACCACCCACCCCCCCCCCCACCACCCCCCCAGCATCATACAGGGTGACCAAAAAGCCCTGATACCATTACAATGTCTCATGAGTCTTCAAATTTAACTTCAATTCAATCTTAAACCCTAATTTAATTACAATTAAGTGAAATTCTATTCTCGTCGCTGCTGTCGCTGTTGTTGCTGCTGTCGCTGCTGTTGCTGCTGTCGCGGTTGTTGCTGTTGTTGTTTTGCTGCCATTCGGTTCAATAATAACTTGCATTTACACGGCGACCCCTCACGCAGGGTTGCGTCCCAGAGCGCTTGACACTGGCGGAGCACAACTCCAAGCCGGGGAGTTGGCGGGGGTGGGGGGGGGTGGAATGGGGAGGTGACTGACTGAAGGCACGGTCGAAGGGGAAGGAGGGGGCAAGGCGGTGGGATTGAGAGAGAGTGTTCCAGAGTTTTGGGGTGTAGAGCCCTTAAAGCGCAGCCACCGATGGTGGAACGGAGGTGCCCGAGAGATATGCCGGTGGAACGGAACCAGTCACCATAGCCTTCACCTATGACATGTCGCTTGCATTCTCGCCTCCGGGTCAGAACGGTGTGGGATCTGAGCCCCAATTCGGGGACTTTGGGCTCACAGACCAGGCTGACACTCCAGAACAGTACTGGGGTGGGCGAACCATACTGTCACAGACACTGTTCTTCAGAGAAGACATTAAACTGAGGTCATGTCTGTGCCTGTTCAGGCGGATGTCAATTGGAAAAGAGAAGGGAGTCTCTCTCTCTCTCTCTCTGCTCTACAGCAGAATGGAGTTTTGACAGATGCTGTTTGCAAAATTGCCAAAATGTTCTTTTAAAACATCCTCATATTTCATTTAGCTTCCTTACTCCACACACACGCCTCTGTTTACCTAGCAGTGTGTAGGAACCCGGTCGTTAGTCAATTGGCGGATCGCTTTCCAGGGGTAATAATCCCAACTAAAAAAAACATTTGGTTCGCTCAATCCACGACTGCTTGTGGGACACTGCTGTGAGCAACTGGCTGCCACGTTTTGCCCCAGAAATACGCAGACACTTCACTTGGAGATATATTCTGTGAAGCGCTTTGAGACATCTCGAACACACGATAAGGCGATATATCAAGTGCAAGGATTATTATTATTATTAAATGGCACCTCAGATGATTTTCAGGGAAGTATCAAGACTGCATCATTTTGTAGGTGAACATTTGCCTACACGTACACGGTCACTACACCAGGCGGCAATTCCCCCTGAACTGCTCTCTTGTGACATTCCTCGCGCTGTGTCAAACGCAAAATGCAAGGGTTATTATTTTACCGGTTAGTACCCGTTGGGTAACAATAGCAACAATCCTTGCGTTTGACATAGCGCCTTATCACGTCGTTGAGACGTCTCAAAGCGCTTCACCGGATACGCTGTACATTGTAAATACATCGTAAATAGATTTGGGTCCATCCAAATCTTGAGTTGTGTTGCAGAGCGCCACTTATTGGGGGGAGAGGAGAAGTGCTGGGTAAGAAAGCTCCCAGCGAAGGTCTGGCAAACAGGCTTCTGGTTGCAGCTGCCTGTAAGTGGGAGTAAACAGATAGGAGCAATAAATACTGGATAAAGCTCCTTTGAAAGGTTCATTAACATTCCTAAATCTAATTAACAGTCAGAGAGCAGGCCACAAGGCTGAGCTCAGTGAAACAAACGCGTAATATGATTAAACCATACCGTGTCTGCAACCTCCGTTCAGACAGCAAACCAGCAACAACAACAACAACAACAACTTGCATTTACACAGCGCCGCTCACTTGGGGTAGCGTCCCGGAGCGCTTGACAGTGGCGGAGCTTGACAACAATCCTGGGACGGGGTGGGTGGGGTAGACAGAAGTGGAGGAGGTGACCGTAAGCCCGATCAAGAAGGAAGGTCTTTAGGAGGGATTTGAAGGTGGGGAGGGAGGGGGAGGGAGAGGGTAAGGCGAAGGGATTGAGGGAGAGTGCAATAGAGTTTCGGGGAGTAGTGGCTGAAGGCACGGCCACCGACAGTGGATCGGTGGGGACGAGGGATAAACAAGAGGCCGGTGTCTTTAAAATCAGACCGTGAGAAAGGACAAGGTTCTGTATCTTGCTTTACAGTTATAGCTTTGCAATATCTTTATTCTCAAGGCAACACTCCTAAAATCCCTCCACCTCACTCCCTACCCTCTCCGGGTTCAAATCCCTACCTCTTTGACCGCGTTTTCAGTCACGCCGCTCCTGTCTCCCTTCAATGATACATAGAAACAGGAAGAGGCCATTCAGCCCCTCGAGCCTGTTCTGCCATTCTATAAGCTCACGGCTGATCTGTACCTCAAATCCAATTACCCGCCCTTACCCCATATCCCTTAAGACCTAACAAACAGCTGTCCACCTCAGCCCTGAACGTCTCTGAGACATTCTGTAACACGAGGATTATTATTATTATTACTACAATAACCTCCTGATAATGGGAGTCTAATTAGTCACTACCGGTTAAGTCATGTCCATATCTCGGCCACGTTTATTTATGCATCTATACACACACCTAACTCGCCGCTCCTGATAACTCATCACTGGGCCCTTTTCCCTTGGAGTGACGAGTTATCAGGAATTTACTGGATTATGCATTTCGCCCACAAAATACACCGTCGATCCATTTTACAGTATATTCTGTGAAGCGCTTTAGGGTATATTCTGTGACGTCTCAACGTCATGATAAGGTGTCTCATCAAATGCAAGGATTATTATTATTATTATTATTACACATAGGCAAACTTAGCAGTCAATTTGCACACGGCAATGTCCCACGAACAGCCACAAAGTGAGTATTTTTTTATTACTATAACAACAAATAATCCTTGCATTTGACCCAGGGCCTTATCACGTCTTCGGGATGTCTCAAAGCGCTTCACAGGATACACTGCAAAGTGCAGTGACTGTGCCTTTTGTGGCCGAAACAATTGTTGATGAAAAGCCTCGCCTACGGCTTCAGGGGGAACGCCTGAAGTCGCTCCGGGGAGTCTCGGGGGCACTGGAAGCAGAAAGTCGCTCTCTTTGCTCCTGTCTCAGTGACTGGGTTTCGTTTCATTTCATTCTGGCAATGACTTGACAGCGCTCAATTCTAACCGAGTTCTTCCTCTCTTCTATTCCCGTCCCGTCCCACCCCAGACACACGGCAGATATCATCGAGGCAACCTAATCCCTGGTCTGAGTTCGGAACCAGTTCCTTTCAGTCACTGCTAATGACAGACCATTTGTCCTTTTCAGCAGCACTTGAGTGAAAGCAAAAGCTCAACAGGAAACCGCACACCCAGCGCTCGCTCTCTCTCTCTCGCGCTCTCTCTCTCGCTCTCTCTCTCGGAGAGCGCGGGCGGTTGGGGAGTCTGGTGCGGTACAGGCTCAGTGACTGGCTCTGTGGCGCAATGGATAGCGCATTGGACTTCTAGTGAGTGGCTCAGGGGTGATTCAAAGGTTGTGGGTTCGAGTCCCACCAGAGTCGCATTTTATTATATTGGACTATAAAGAGAGTGCGCGCATGTGTGCGCGGGTGTATACTTGGTGTGCGTACTTGGTGTGTGTGTATGTGTGTACTTGGTGTGTATGTGTGTGAGTGTGTACTTGGTGTGTGTGTGTGATCCAAACACAACATATTTCGCCCACAAAATATACAGTCAATTCACTTTACAGTATATTCTGTGAAGCGCTTTGAGACGTCTCGAAGACGTGATGAGGCGCTGTGTCAAATGTCAGGATTATTATTATTATGATTATTATGATTATTATTATTATACAGTGCCTTTCGTGACACGGGGACATCCCAAGGTGCTTGACACTCGCGGCTTGGTACCCAAGCTTGGGGTGTGGAGGGGGAAAGATAATAATAATAATAATAATAATAATAACAATACTAATAACAATACTAATAACAATAATAATAATAATCAAAAGCGTGGTCAAAGAGGAAGATCTTGAGGCGTAATGATAGGAACAAGTCGGGGTATGGTCTGTGAAGCGCTTTGAGACATCTCAACGCTGTATCTATTGCAAGGATTATCATCATTATTATTATTATTATTATTATCATTATTATCAGAACGAGAGGGAAGGGAAGAGTTAACCGGGGGCTGAGATGCTCCCAGTTTGCCCCCTGGGCTGAAGCCGGCACAGCGCGCCTTGTTATGACGGGGTGGGGGGGGCGGGGGGGAGGTTTTGGAGGAATCAGTGTGATATGTGACAGGTTCTGGGATAACCTGTGCGCCGTTTCCAAGGAGACAGAGTCTGGGCGATGACATCTGCAGATTTAGGAGAGATTAGAGAAGGAGCTGAGCGGAGAGTAACTGCAGGTGAGAGAGAGAGAGAGAGAGAGAGAGAGAAAGAGATTGGCAAGCCCAGCGAGGGACAGAATAGCAAGCACGGCAGAGAGTCACACACACACACCCAACACTCCACACCCAACCCTTTGCTTGGCCGCAGTTTGTTCTCCGCAAGGTTAATTGGAAAAAGATTTCTAAACATTGATCAGAAAACGCGGCGGCCACTTGACACACGGACCAACGTCCCACCTGAGCAGCCACAGCACAGAGAGCCTGTCCCGTCAGGAGGACGTCCCAAGGCGCTGGGCAGTCAGGGAGCTGGTGGTTGGGATCAGGATGGGGGTGGAGGGCGGGGAGGGGAGGGGATGGGGTAGGAGAGTGATCGAGG